ACCGTTATTTTTGCTTCTTTCCTCCTTTTTTATGTGTGTGTCTATTGCTATTAACATTTTCCTGGTGAGCCTTTCCTTGTTTAAGCTATATCCCAGAGGTTTTAGAATGTTATATTTTAATTTTCATTTGTTTTGACAAACTTTTTAATTCTTTAATTCTTCTATAAACTGATAGTGTTTTAGCAGGGTGTTATTTAGCTTCCACACAGATGGTTTTATAAGCTTTATCCTTTTGTTGTTAATTTCTAGTTTAATGGCATTGTGATCTGAGAAGATACTTTGCATTTTTCAATGTTTCTGAATTTGTTGAAGTTTGTTTTGTGTCCTAATATATACTCATTTCTGGAGAATGTACCATGTGCATTCAAGAGCAAAGTAAATTGACTTTTAGTTGGATGCAGTACTCTGACTATATCCACAAGGTCGAGTTGGCTGAATGTGTAGTTTAGATCTTTTGCATTTTTATGCTTCTTTTGAGTTGACCTGTATCCTTTTTAAAGAAAACTTATAATTTATTCATTATTGCACATTTTCTCTTCCTTCCCTCTCCCTCCCCTTGTTCCAAAGTTTTCATAAACAAAAAAAGCATAATCATATATTCCTTTCAGTTATTCCCTTCATCTGTTCATTATCTAGGCAACCCTTCCTATTCCTTCTCCAACCCTTGTCTATCCTTTTTTAGAATAGTGGAGCTATGCAGTATTTACCCTTTTGTGATTGAGGTATTTCACTTCACAAACCAGAGCCACAACTCAAACAGATGTATGCACATCTGTATTTATTGCTGCATTATTCACAATAGCACAGAGATGGAAGCAACCCAAGTGCCCATCAATAAACAAATGGATAGAAAATAATGGTATATCCACACAATGGTATATTATGCAGTATTGAAGGACAATGAAATAGCAAAACATTGCACAACATGGGGTAGCCTTGAGGACCTATCTTCTTCTGCGAATGGTGTGTTCAAGTCTTCTACCACTACTGTGGTGCTATTTATTTCTTCAATTCTGTTAACCTGTTTTTTTGTATTTTGCAGGTTTACTACTTGGTGCATAGATGTTGACCAAAGTTATGTCTTCTTGATCATTGTGTCATTAATCATTAGTGTCCTTCTTTATCTTTTATGGTAATTTTCATCCTGAAGTTTATCTTACCAAATATTAGTATTGCTGTTCCTGCTTTTATGTGTGTGCTATTTGCTTGGTGTATCTCCACCACCCCCGCCTTTGATTGAGTCTTTCTCCTAGTTTCTTAAATGTGTCTCTTGTAGGCAAGATATTGATGCGCTTTATTATTTTATCTAATCTGCTACTCTTTTTCTCTTACTTGGTGCATTTAGTGAATTCATATTAATGTGGTTATTGACAGACCAGTTTTATAGTTGTCATTTTAGTGTTTCTAGTTATTATAGTCCATCCACTTTCCTTTGCATTCTCTGTGTGAAAGTCATCTCTTAAAATTTCTTGTAGTTTTGGTGTTGCTTTCACAAATTCCTTAAGTTCGTTCTATTCTGCTAAGGACCTAATTTCTCTTTCATGCTTGATGGACAGTTTTATTGGGTATGGGATTCTAGGCTGGCAGTTGTTTTCTTTCAGCTTTCTTTATATGTCATCCTGTTGTCTTCTTACTGAGAAATTAGGAATTATTTCTCCTTTGCAGGTGTCATTTTGTTCTTCTAGTGCCACTTTTAGTATTCTGTCTTTATCTTTGATTTTCAAGAATTTGACTATAATAGGTCTTGATGTTTTTCTTTTTACTTCTAGTCTGTTTGGTGTTTGCCGAGCTTCTTGGGTGTGGATTTCCCCCCATTCTTCATAGTATCTGGGAAGTTTTCTTCTAGTACCTCTTCAACCATTTTCTGCACTAGACTAAAAATTCAGGTTCAGAGATGTAAAAATTGGGAAACCAACCAGGGCACCTTAAACAGCAGGGCTAACTCCTGAAGAGCTTAGGGAGGGGCTGTGGCTGTGAGCATCAACCTCAGAGTAGCAGCAGAATACTGAGCTATAAATATAATGCCTGTCAAGGATCATATTTTATTAAATATCTGGATTAATTTTAAGTGTCTCTGTGCAGAATTTTTTAAGATACATTTATGAAGGAAAAACCTATATGGGTTTGTAACTTAATCAAATAACCAGTGAACAATCCCTGTGAACCTCCCATATAAACACATACACACATCCATATTAGGGTGCTGCTGTCCATTTCACAAACATCTGTTCACTGAGGAGTACCAAATTAATAATTTTATTTTACTCTGAATAGAAATGGTATTTAAAGAGTAGCACAAATTACTATACAAAGAATGTATAGAACATTTATTTACATACTGAATATACTCTTTACAGTATCAGAAAAGGTAAAAATATTCACTAACAAATAAGAATGCTAAAGAGACATTACAAGGTCTTTTGACACTGAAGATATACATGAAATTCTTTACTACAGCATGACTTTTTACGTAGTTAAACACTGGAGAACTACAATACAATACATTTTCATGAATAGGTTAATAGGACCCTGGCTATGATATCTGTTGCAAACAGTTCAGGATCTCACTAGCATCCCCTCTTCAGGAGTGCCCATCTGCCCTGAGAGGCATGATGCTTGAGGATGTTCCTTGTCACATGTACTAAGGCCAGAGCTGGTGGTGTACATGTTAGATGTCTGGTGCAGAGCGGTCTGTGTCCTTTTTGTCTTCGTGCCCTCAGGACAAGCCACAAGAAGACTTGGGCACACCAGCCTGGCAGAAACCAGACACTGGTTTGATTCTTCAGAAGGAGCACTTTTCTTAAATTCCCTGAAATCCTTGGGTATAAACAACATCTGGCAAGATAGCTTAAAAGGCAAATTTTTGTAACCTCTTGAATGAGCTGAACAGACTCTCCCGGGTTGCCTGATATCTGCTAATTCTAAGCAGTACATCTCTCTTTCATTTTTGTTTCTCAGCAAGCCCTCTTCCTGACATCAGAAGAGATGTGTAGGCTTTGGTCCTTGGCTCAAACATGGTACGAGGTGGTCTCTTGGTGAGAGGATGCACCTCTATAGCTAATTCCTTTGATTGAGGAAACAATGAAAAGCTAGATACCTCCTGTGAAGACATCAGAACCACCTGGCCAATGCAGCACATTCCCTGTAATGGTTATGGCACCATGAATCAGGGAGGCAGATCCACCAGGACCAGACAAATATATCTGGCACAGAAATGAGGCACTTGTTTTTGGTGCATTGATAGGAGCTTAAATATGGAGTCATCTACCTGTTATCTATAAACACATATCTTTATACAATGCCTGCTTGATTCATATTATTCCAGCTCTGTTAATTACTCAGTTTTCCTTGGCCCCTTATTTTAAGAGACAGAATTCATTAGGCTTATTTTCAAACCCTAGTCTGTTGCTGGTTTACCTGTATGATCTTAGTTTGCACTTGAATTTTGAAAGAGAAGAGTGAAAACTTCACAATGGCTTAAACCTGTCTGGTCAACAAGGGAGTACACTGGGCTGTAAGGGGAAGGACCATGGCTTCATTATAATCTTGTTCAGCTGCATCTCTCTGGGGAGGTCCCAGGGTCAGCAGCTTCCTCCAAATCTAACCAAGAAATCACTGCGTGTGAAAGTCACGCAGTACAAAAGACACACCAAGTCAGTGTGTGAGGTCTGCATGCCTAGTGTGGCCATCTGATGTCAGAAGTTGACCCCAAAAGCTCTTGTTAATGGTGAGATGACTCTTTGTCCTTGTCCTCTTCTTTCTGCTCACAGGCGTCATAAGCACACATGATCCCTGGCAGGAAGGAACACACTGACACAGAGCAGTTCAAGGAGAGGAACTCTTAGGACTTCTGAATATGAGAAGTGTTTAGGAATATAACACAGGCCCATCAAATGACCCCTAACAAGCTGGTGCTCAGCAAGGTTGCTGTACTCTCAGTGGCCACTTCTGAACCCTCTGGACCTTTTCCATAAAAAAAAAAAAGTCATCTCCAAACGTGGGAGAAGACAGGAGTAAAGAGCTAGAGTGGATTATTGAGGACCTCCACACTGCAACCTCACGAGTCTCTGCACCAACATTTTGTGTCATGGCACCGGCAGAGGGTCTATGTGGTGATGACGTCCCCTGAAATCCAAACGTGTCAGTATAAATGCACAGAAAAATGATAAACTGGTATCATAATTTGGCTTAAATGAAATATAAATTACATAGAAATGGTGTTTTATCTTCCACTTTTGTCCTTTCCTAGTCCAGTTTCTCCTTGGTCCACTCCTTACGCAGAACCTACACAATATCAGGGGGTGTCCTCTCCTGGTCAGTTTCTCCTTGGTCCACTCATTACTCAGAACCCTTCACAACAGCAGGGGGTGAGTCCTCATCACCTCAGGATGGTTTCTAGAGTAGCCCAGTGTTCCTTTCAGATCGCTGCCTTAATCCTCACCACACACCTCATTACTGCTTCATTCATGGCTTGCAACATTCTGGAAGCGCTTGACCTGCACTGACCTTCACCACACATGCATCCCCTTCTGTGTCAAGAACTATCTCCACCACTGTGGAGGACTGAGATGAGGGTGGCTGTCACCGTACATCACTGGCCAGGAGCATGCAGAAACATATTGTGCAGGGGTCACACCATGCACTGCAGAGGGCAGACATGCCTCCTTCCCCAAAGCTATAGTATCAGGAAGGCAGGGCTCCATCCCTTTCTCTGGGTGTTTTTTGGTGGCACGTTTACATCCAACGTGGTTCCTGTTGGATATATCCTTTGTACATTTTTTCAATCTCAGAAACATAAATAAATGGGTCACAGCAGCTTTTTCTAGGAAGACCAATAAATGGGGAAGTTGTTTGTTCTTGTTTTTATGAAGTTGGAAGACCTGTTTTTCATTCCTGGGCTAGGAATGACAAGATGTCAGTGTGCTACAGCAAAGTGGTGTCCCTATCCTAACTCCACAAAGTCCTGACAGATTCCCTGTGGGCTGGGGCATGCACAATGCTCAGATCTTCTTCGGAGAACCAATCATGACTTTTGATACAAAGTTCACAATGGCACTGGCTGGCTGCTCAGGGTCATGCTCTGCAAACAGATGGCACACGTTGTCTGTGATGCTGCCCTGCTTTCGGGCCACAAATCCAAAGACTCTGCAAAGGAGAAGTGACAGTCAGAGTGGCCAGTGACCATTAACCACCTCTACCACCATCATCACAATGACCATCAATCACTACCATCAGTATGGATCATCACCACCACCATGGATCACCATCACCACCACCACCACCACCACCACCACCACCAGGAGTCATTTCAGCCATCACTTCTTAACATCTCCTACACGCAAAATTTTCAACTAGACCTCTATCTTGAATATTCCCTATTTCTTTTTCTGCTTTATCTCTAATCTTCTCAACACTCACAAGTAAACTATCACTGCTATGTAACGTAGAATAGGAAGCAACCCACAGCTAACCCTCCAGAGAGTTTTCAGAGGCAGTTAATCACATGGGAGGAGACCACCCATCTTTCTCTCACAGAACAGCTGGTATCCTCAAATTGTATGCCTTCAGGATTGCAGCACTACTTCTTTCCACTAGGCCACCAAAGTGCCCTCAACTATCACTAACCCTACCCTAAAAGCTAAGTGACTAGCTCCTGGCCTGATCCCAAGGCTGCCCTCCAAGTTAAGGCTCTATACACTGCACAGATGCTTCTCCACATTTGGCTTAAGCCCAGGGGATGGAGTCCTGGGGCTTGCTCTCCAGCTAGGACAGGAATCTCTGAGGGGAGGGGGCTGCATTGTGCTGGGTGATTTTTTAGTGCATTGTGGTGTGAGGACCAGGAGTTTTCTTACTAAGACCACCTAACTTCACTTCACAAACTCAAACTAGACAGGCTGCAGGGGTCTGGACCTTGAGTGCTCAACAATATAGTTCCAAATACTACTAGAAAATGACTGGTAGTACCAACTGCCCAGTGTTGATTTCTGAGATGATGTCAGATGCACTCAAGCTCTGACTCCACATGTTAGAGGCACTGAGAATGATTTAACTGAACAAGCTTATCTATAAGCTTATCTAATGGCTTGGAATGAAAGCAGAAATCCTTGACACGCAATCAGCTGGAAAAGCAACCAAACTCATGAGACTTCAGTGACTTCAGATAGGTATTTATTCCAACAGGGATTAAGATCCTGGTTTATAAACAAGTACTTCTTCTTCAGGCAGATGCAATGATTGAAACCCTATTTACAAGACATTTCTGTTCCATTCAACACAGACTTCAATAAAATGGGAAGAGCTAATCAAATAAAGACTCCAATGATCATCTTCTAGGACTTTTTAAATCAGGACAATTGTTTAAAAGAAAAATACACTTAATTTTTTTTTTTAGACAATATGAAGTTGGTATCTTAATAGGTTTTCCAAGTCCTAAAGTTCACACAATAACTACTATTTTTTATATTCAAATTCCTGGCAGAGACCTTCTTTTAAAAAAGTAAGTATTACTGGATTAAGTCTAACAGTTTCTACACTGAGGAGGAGACTAGTGAATGATATACAAGTGACCCAGTGCAACTGAGAAGTCCATGAAAACAAAGATCTTATCTCACCTCTTCAGGGTTGTGGGGACAGTTCCAAGAACAGTGTCTACCTGGGGTGAGGGGTGTCTGAGCACTGTTAGATTCCTGACAAGGAAGGCATCTGACAAAACTGCAGGAGAGGGAGGGAACCTATGAATCGGGGCTACTGGTGTTGAAGTCTAGATTCTGTATAAGGCAATCAGGGAACAGAAACAGCTAGGCTTCAGACAGGCTTGGGAGAACTTTGATTTCCTGCTGGACAGCAAAGTTAATAGTGGCTGTGAGGAGAAGACACTCAGTGGATGGGTCATGCTGCAGCTGCCACTGGGCCACATCTGCAGAAAGGGATCTTCCAAAGGATTCCTCACCCCACCAGGTCTAGAAACCTGGTCTTCCAGGGAGCAAGGGCTTAAAGGAAACTGCCTTCTAATCCAAATCTATTTTTTTGCTTACTCACATTCACACACAGCTCCTTCCCTGATTCCATGTGTTCAAAGCCACTGAGGGCCATGCCTTCTTCTAAATGGTTAAAGTAACTGTCCTCTGCTTCACTGTATTTGTATAGCACTTGAAGGGTTAAATGTAAATCCAGCCCAGACAGAGAATATACCCAAGCCCTCTGGACAAAGTAAAAATACATTCGCTAGAAATCTAGAACAGAAAGCACCCTTGGATTGGGTCTATAAACTAAGAAGGAACATAGAGAATTCTCAGCAACTTACTTTGCTGAAGGGCCATCTTTGATCCACCTTATGAAGTAAAGAGAAAACAAAATAATTTTGTTAATTTTTAATGAATTAAGTGTTTCATAAAATATGCACACTGTTTTAAAAAAACAGATGTCTTACTTTCTATCCTGTGGGTCCAAGGCACAGAAGATGACGCTGTTAACAGGGTAGTGTCTCCGGAAGAAGAGCCTGTGCAGGAAACAAGAAAGGTAAGCACTGGCACTGTGTGTGCATGTGACGGATCGTATGTGATGGTGTCATACTACTTCTAGTCGTGTGGAGATAAGGGCAAAGTCTGTGCTCTCTAAGTGCAAAAGCAAACACAAAGTTGGGAAATAGCTGGTACTCTTTGCCTTTGTGGTAAAATTCACCTCTGGAGAAAGGGGAATTGTCAGCACCAAGCCAAAGGCCTACAGGCAGGTGTGTGAGACTGGCACAAAGGACTGGCCTGAGGGCCCCTTGCCTGTGACCGTCGAGAAACCACTGCCTGTTTCTGAGCCTCAATTTCTCTATCTTTGAAAAGAGAAGCACAATATCTACTCTAGTCATACAAGGATGGTGCCCAGATCAAACAAGTCAACAATGTGAGGTGATTTTAGGACTGAACATGCTATATCTATTGTGGAGTGTGCCTACCACTGGGCTTGGCTCCACTGGTGATATAACAACCAGAAGGCTCAGTATCTGGGGCTCAGGTGCTTGAGCTCGGCTCACCTCTCCCAGACTCCTATTACTGTACCACCCTGTACCCAGACCAGATGGCCCTGGGCATGAGGTCAGCACAATGTTCTGCCCTTCTTGTTTAAGAGGAGGCCAACTTAGGAGGCCCTTGGGGGTGGCTATTGCCACATTCTGGGGATAATTACAAGTATGTTTCTCAGTAGCTGGGGGCTTCGCTTTTGTCATTGGGAGGAAGCTGGATGACCCTCTGGAGAAAGAGAGACTGGCTGCCAAGCAGGGAAGGAAGCAGTAGAGGGTTGCACACCTTCCCAACTGTGGTCTATGGATTGGCACTGGTTCTGTCAACCCTTTAGATGCCTTGCAAAGCTTGCTCGAAAGGATGTGGCTCCTTTCCTTATACAAGTCAGTCCCACATAAAACTCTAACTCTCGTAATATGAAGCTGCTAGCCTCAATGTTTTATAAAGGAAAACAGAAAAGATTGAAAAAAACACCAGGTAACAAGAGTAGTCAGTTCTTGGAGGAAAGAGGAGGGTGGGAGCATGGAGAAGAGAAGATTCAGAAGGTTCCATGACCCAGCTGCTCTGCAGGAGAAAAATAGATAGGTTCCTCCCTTGTCATTTATAGCCTCTGAAAACCTGCGGGAAGGTCAGCTATGAGTTAATCCCACTTGATGGCAATCACTCACTTGAGTGAGTGAGAGGTGATTACAGACTTAAGGGTGGTTCTAAAGATATGATTTAGAAGATTTTTATATTTGTAAGTCATACATGTGTATGTGCAATATTCTAAGTACCAAAAGGTATAGATTTTTTTTTTTAAATTATGATTTCAAAGAAAAACTTCAAGTTGAGCACCAATAATCTATATGTGATTACTTGTTGCTGTGAACCACTAGTTAGAATCCCACTACTGACCCTCCAGCAAGTTTTCAGAGTGTAAATTGTACAGGAGAAGAGTGTCCATTCTTCTCCAATGGAGCATCTGGTGGATTCAAACCCTGGGCCTTTGGGATTGCACACAGGGCACTTTTTTTTCTTTATTAAATTTTCCTTTCTTTTTTTTATTAAATAAATTTTTACTTTATACTAGTTTGCTTACAAAGTTTGTATACATTGTTTTTCACACTATCTTCAGCCACATTATGTTTTATATAATTATTCCTATTCATTATATTTTATAAAATTAATCAACATTGAAATATGCCCATCATTGCCCTTTCTATCCAAATCCCTGCTAGATCTTTCCCATTTCCTTTTCCCATTCCACCTTCTCCTTATCATATTTTAAGACTTCATGATTTCGCCTCTGCTCATCCTCACCTCTGCTCCTACCCTTACCCTTTCCTTGGATCCTCATACACATCTTACCAGTTATTTTTCTATTTCTCCAGTAATGGTTTTATATAGTATTTGTCCTTATGTGACTGAGTTAGTTCACTTAGCATAAGGCTTTTCAGTCCTAGAAAACTTTTAATGACAGGCACATGTGGGATTACTACTTTATTTTTGTGGTGGGGAGGACTGGATATATTTATTTTTATTTTTTGTCAATCTTTTGAATGAAACTACCATGATTTTTTAGATTTCATTTAGTAGCAAACTTGATTAATAACACTTTCAGGAGTTCACAACTTCAAGGCTAAGATTTTAATTAAGGTTATATGGTTACTGGAATAATCATTATAAATGAAGTTTGTTTTTTTTCAGTCCTGAAATATGTTTATTAAAAAGCTTTGAAAAAGTCATATTTTTGTCAAAGTATGGCTTTTGGGCTGCAATAGATGTCATTGTTGTAGGCTGACACCAGTGCTTGAGACATAGTGATTTAGGCAGTCCACCAGTTAAGCAAACCGAGCATAGGGACAGAGTTGTAAAATGTGAGCATGATGACAGCTTATTAATGCCATTTAAAACCATTTTCACTAAGGTAATATTCAGCCTGACCTTGTTATTTATGCATCAGCAGAATTAGCTAATTGTAACTGCTCTGAATGCAGCAGTAATGAAAAAGGGGCACAAAGTGTGTGAATTAACAGTAATAATTTCTAGGAATCTTTATTTTGTATTTGTGGAAATACTGCTTTAATTTTATACCACATTTCTATGTGTGGTTTCTAAATTCAATTCCAATACCAGTTTTGCAAAAGTTCTAAAATCAGTTCAATTTCTTTTTCTAAAAGAATTAGTATTTATTTTTTAAGATTTATTCACTGTTCATCTGTTAACACTTACTTTTCCAGCGAAGACATAACCAATGCTGCCTTAAAACTTAGTGTTCCTTTTTCACTTCCTGCACATTTATAATTTTGTTTGCTGATTGAATATTGATTTTGTCATGTCTCCATCTGCTAAAATAGTGAAGCATCCTTCCATGAAGATGGCCGTGGTTTTCCTCGGAACCAGTAGGACAGAGTTGACGTTGACCTGGTTTAACAGTTGTTCTCTTTTTCAAGCCAGCTGTAAACCATATCCACTTGCAAATCCAAGGTTTTCTTCTCTTGGCCTGATTTCCTTCCACACTTAGTCCAAGACTCAAAGTCCTAGGGCTCAACTATGAGGACAAAGCAGAGAGGAGGGGCTGTCAGTGCCTTGTGCACTCCAGGTGGGGGGAGCAAGGTCCTGCAAAGCTGCTTTCTGCTGGGCTGCAATATGCTGCTGTTCAGCATGGTCCCGGAAATCCTAATTAAGAGAGGGTCTCGAGAGTGTAATGCTGGCGCCAGGATGATTTGTTGACGATTGGTTCTGCATGAGTAGTTTTCTTTTCTCTTTGTCCAATTCAGCCAAGATTGCAACTGTATTTTTATTTTGAAAACCTTGGATTTCCGTTAAACACTCACTCCTGGGCTGGGCTGGGCGTAGGCTCGGCGGGGAGGCCTCGGCTGGGAGGCCTCGGCGGGGCCAGGCTGGACGCCCGCAGCCCGCGGCTCCCGCGCTATAAATGAAGTTTTATAAAAAAAAAAGCTAAAAGCAGTCTGACCACTTAACAGAAAATATAAATGACCAAGTCTCTAGACCATATAATGTAAGTACACTTAATAATGTAAGTACTTTAACAGTCAAAGAGATAGAAAGGTCTCCACCGAAGAAAAAAAATAGGCATTAGGTATCTATATGCATATGCATACTTCTACAATATGCATGTTTTGGTCATTAGCATGGTGGTATGAACAAGGCAATGTGGCAGGTACTAGCATGCAGAAGTGTGCTGGCTGTGCTAGAGGGCAGCAGAGGCAGTAGTGGCAGGCACAGGGCGGGGTTCCCAGAAGGCACTTTAGTCTTTTCCTCCACAGAGCAGCAAGAGGGATTTCTTACAGTCTCCCGATTTATCATCCTTGATCATGGAATGTAGGGAGGTGGCAAAATTTTTCCTGAACTCCTTTCTTATGTTAAGCAGATCAATCTCACTCTTGGAAACCATGACTCTGATGAGGGTGTGGTCATCTGTCCCAGCTCCCTTCATAGCATAGTAGAGGGTTTCTGCAAGGTAGGCAGGTATACTTCAAATAGATTTTACAACAGCAAGAAGTAGTTGCTCCAAATTACCAGAAGTCTCTCGATCAATGGTTCTCTCAATTTGAAATCCTTATATGGTTATGTATTTGTCAAACACCCTTCTCAAATAAGACACACTTCGTGTTCCAAAGATAGTGATAAATTTTTCTTCATCCGTGCCCCACTGAGCTCCCTAGCTTGAAACAAAGCCTGAGCATCTTCTTCAACCTGAGCTTCATTAATTCCAATATCAGGGTCTCAATTAGCCTGAAGGAGAACCACCAGCATTCTCTGATAGTATCTGGAGGTATCGCTCACCACATCATCTTCCAGGCTTGAGTCATATTCTTAAATTTGTTTTATGGCTGTCAGATCAGGTGTCCTTGAAGCAATAATTTCCGTCAGGACTTTCTCTTCTCATTTGTACCAGCTCCCTTGAGAGCTCATAGGCGTCATAAAGCTCAGAGGGTTTCATTAGAGCCACAATTAACTTCTCAAATTTTCCAGTCAGTTCTGACTTCAGATCATCCAGGAAATCCCTGCCAAAAAGAGTTTTATAAGATGCAGCCATTTCCTTGGTGCTGCATATTGCTTCGGGATGTTAGAACAGTCAGGATGGTACCCAGGCCTTTCATGGCCTTCCAAAGATTTTCTGCATTGGCCCAGTCATCATATCCAGTGAAGTCAGTCACGGTGCCTCTGAGAATCTGTGCCATGGCGAATGCTCAGGTCAGGAGATGGTGATGCGAGACCAGGCAGAGTGCTTCAAACCTTCCAAGGAGCAACGGTGCACAGAGCGTCTAGGCAGGGATGCGAACAGAGCATGAGAACTAATTATTTAAGAGTTACCATCAACACTTCTTTGAGGCATTTTCTCTCCATAAGAAGAGCCAGTAGGAAAGCCTGTTAGCAAATCTGGAGGCCCTGCTCCTGAGCTTGGCACTTACTTTCTCTGGTTGTCTGTCAGTGTGATGCCCTGGGCAGACACCTTGAAGTGGACCACAGTGGAGATGGGAGGTGGCTCTTGGACCAGGGTGATGTTCAGGGCCTTCTGCACAGCCTGGTGGCCAGTCAAGGACTCCATCTCCACAGAGTTCAGGTACCACACATTGCAGGCTGCAAGACAGAAAGGGGGTGGGGTTAACTAACCATGCTCTCTTCAGAAGACTCAAATGCCACTGTGCCATACAGGGGTCATGTCACCAACTTAGAGACATTACTGGTCATGATCTGCATGTGTGAACAATGCCTGTTATAATGTAAAGGCAAATTTTTCTTTGTGGTTAGTTTCCCAAGTCTTGTGCAGGGAATCTGCAAGTGAGGAGAATAACTGAGCCCCTTTCCACAGAGGTTTCCATACTATCCTGTGTATCTGCTGGTCTGAGAGGAGCAGCCTTCCCCTCAGGGTTAAACTAGTGGCTTCAGCTAAGTGTGTAGGGACTTCTGCTTCATTCAGTTCATTTAGCTAAAGGAATCTATCGCCTTGCCTGGTCAAGAACCAAGAATGCTACCTCACCCAAGGAACACAGCACTTTCCATTCCCCTCTACTGAATGCCAGGCTCTGTAAGGGAATGTGTAGGTATTTAATGTAATTTAAAAAGGCCTCTGTATTCCTACTGAGCAAGGGAAAAGCATGACCCTGTTTATCTATCTATACAAGGGTAGTAGAAGCTGTCAAGAAGTGATGTCTTAGGGAACAATGCTGTCTTCTCTTGACATTTATTCTAACTGTGGAGAAGCAGCAGGCATTTGGACCAATATCTTATACACCCATAAACACATACACAGCTTAGAAAGAAGGATGGATATAATGCCGTGCTTTCCTGGGTGCAAAAGTGCAGGGCCACTTAAGAGCTTCTCAACTATCCATTCTCAAAATAAAAAAGAAAAAAAGAAAAAAATTTAAAAAAGCAATAAAATGGCTAGTTAACCTAGACAACTATGAAGCTTTTCTATTAGTATCAATAATACAGAATAATTACAATTGTCGTTGTTATTGTTATGTTTTGTCGAGTTGCTTGAGACTCATAGCGACCCTATGTACAACAGCCCTAAACTCTGCTCTGTCCTGTGCCAATTGCATTGTCTCTAATACACCCATCCTAATTACCCCAGTCACTAAATCAATCCACTTCATAGAGTCTTCCCCTCCTGTGTCGTCCCTCCACCCGACCAAGCATGATGTCCCTCTCCAAGGAACTGTCCCTCCTTACAACATGTCCACAGTATGTTAGACGAAGCCTCAGAATCCTTGCCTCCAAGAAGCCGCCTGGTTTAACCCTCTCCAGGATGAATTTGTTTATTTTCCTAGTATCCCATGGTACATTCAATCCAGCAACACAACTCAAAGGCATCAATTCTCCTTCTATCCTCCCTAGTCATTGTCCAACTCTCTGAAGCACAGCAAGTGATTGCAAAGACCATGACCTGTATCAGGCACAGCTTAGTCTCAAGAGAGACATCACTGCTCTTCAGTATTTTGGAGAAGTCCCTAACAGCAGACTTTCCCATGGCAATACACCTTTTAATTTCCTGGCTACTGGTGCCAAGAGTGTTGACTGTGGAGCCAAGCAAACTAAAGCTGTGAACAATATCAATCTCTTCACCATCCATTCTGATGCTGCCAATTGGTCTAGTGGTGAGAATCTGTCTTCTTGACATTGAGCCTCAGTCCATACTGAAGGCTGCAGTCCTTGACCCTCTACAGCAAACACTTTAGATCCTCCTCAGTTTCAGCAAGCAGGGTTGTGTCATCTGCATAACGCAGGTTGTTGATAGATCTTCCACCAATCCTGATGCCGCATTTCTCCTCAGAGCCCAGCCTCCCAGATGATCTGTTCTGCATACAGGTTGAAAAGGTATGGAGACAGGGACACATCCCTGGCATACGCTCTTCCCAATTTTGAACCATGCCGTGTTTCCTTGCTCTGTTCTGATGAGTGCCTCCTGGTCCAAGTATAGGTTTCACATTAGCATGATCAAGTGTTCTGGGATTCCCATTCTTCTCAGAGTCAGCCACAGTTTGTTATGATCCACACAGTCAAACGCCTTTGCATAATCACAATTAGAATGAAAATAAAAACTAGTGTTTGCACTAACAAATTAATAAGAAAAACAAAGTCATTTCCCTTACTTGTGGGGCATCTTAAGAGCACGCTGACAATGATAGAATTTTCACAGATTATGGCAGAAAAGAGAATGATTGCATTCACAGGAGGAGGTTCAGCCAAAAAAGGCTGACTGTGAAGGCAGGAAGCAGACACCAGAAAACTTCTTACAAAGTAAACAGCCTCCTGACCTGAATGACAATTTCTAATGGTCTAGAGGACTCTCTGCTGCCAGAAACCTTCAACACTCATGAGAGAAATGACTGAAATGGTATTATGTCATTACATAAAATTTGAGAGAAAAGTTCTGAACACCTATCATTTATCTGTCAGTTTGTTGTACTGGTTTGGCATATGCTAAAAACTGTATTTCCAATAATGGCAGGGTCACCCATAATGAACTTCCGAACTAAGACAGACTAGAAAGAAAAGGCTGCTAATCTACTTAAAGAAACAAGCCAGTGAAAACCCTCTGCATTACAACAGAAGATTGTGAATTATAAGGCTGGGGACTGAGCTAGTAGGAAGACACTACACACTAATCACAACAGAAAAATCATGGAGAGGACACAAATGGCAGCATCTTGTCTTTAGGATGTACTCAGGGCCACTGTGAAGTGCACTCAAGGAACAAGTGAATACTTCAAAACACACTTGCTTTTACTTCTTCAAGTTTAACTAGGTTGTTGATTAATGTGAATTCTTACTCTGTCAGAAATTGGCTAAATATTTTATGTAGCTTATTTAATGAAGACTATACATTCTATAGGTTTTTCAGTGACTGGGGTAATCGGGATGGTTGTATCGGAGACGGTGCGATTGGCACAGGACAGAGCAGAGTTTAGGGCTGTTGTACATAGGGTTGCTATGAGTCGCAAATGACTCGACGGCACATAACAACAACAACAACAACATACATTCTATAAGGGATATTGTTATCTCTAACTTAAAGATGATGGAGGTGTGGAGATATTACGAAACTTGTTTAAGGTTAACAAGTTTTTCCAAGTCCAAGCTCCTACAGGCCCAGAATGGTGCTGTGACAATCTCCAAGGCTAACCCTTTCAATGTTGATGGAGAAACTACTGGTACCGGGTATGGATGGACAGACCCTCACTGAAAACATACAATGATTATTGAGATTTAGCTATCAAGTATACTGTGATTCTTTTAGGTTGTATGCAATTTTCCTGCTATAGATAAGGTCCAGACAGTGCCATGAAATCAACATATGAGCAAAGGCTGGTGGTAGAATGACAGAATTCTGCACAGTCAATGATTTATTTATTGCAAATACCTTTTAAAAGAAAAACAAATGCAGGCTTTACACATATATTTCACTTGATGATATGCCTAGGAATCAAATCGATTACATTTGTGGAAAGACTCACTGGAGAACCTCAATATCAGCTGTGAGAACTAGGCCAGGTGCTGACTGTGGGACAGACCACCAACTACTCATATGCAAGTTCAAGCTGAAATTGAAGAAAATGAAATAGAATCCACAGGAACCAAAATTTGACCTTTAGTCTGTCCCACTCGAATTTCAAAACCATCTCAGAACAGGGTTGAGGCCTTGAGCACCAGTGAGCATAGACCAAATGAGCTGTGGGAGGATATCAAGAATATTGTCCATGAAGAATAATACAAAAGATCATTACAAAGGCTGAAGAGGAAGAAAAGATCAAAATGGATGTCAAATGAAACTCTGAATATTCCTTTAGAGCACCAAGAAACCAAAGTTAAAAGAAGAAATCAAAGAGCTGAACAGAAAATTTCAAAGGGCAGCTCAGGACAAAAAAACAAGATACTATAATGAAATGTGCAGAGAGCTGGAGTCAGATAATCAAAAGGAATTAACTCGCACAGTGTTTATTAAGCTGAAGGAGTTGAAAAATAAACTCAAACCACGAGTGACAATACTTAAAGATGCTTTGGGTAGAATGTTAAATGATCCAAGAAGTATTAAAAGAAGATAGAAGAAGTACACAGAGTCACTGTGCCAGAATGAATTGGCTGATACAGAAGAATTTCATGAAATAACATGAGCAAGCGCCTCTGGTGATGAACAGAGCAAGGAGACACTACATGATTCAAAATCAGGAAGGGGATCCACCAGGAATGTATTCTGTTTCCACACCTTTTCAATGTGTATGCAGAATGGATCATCTGGGACGCCGGGCTGTATGAGGAGGAATGTGGTATCAGGATTGGTGGAAGATTCATCAACAACCTGTGTTATACAGATGACACAACCCTGCTTGCTGAAACTGAGGAGGACCTGAAGTACTTTCTGCAGAGGGTCAAGGAACTGCAGCCTTAAATACGAATTGAAAATCAACATCAAAAAAACAAAGACTCACCACTGGACCAATTGGCAGCATCAGAATGGATGAAGAAGAGACTGAGATAGTTAACAGTTTTAGTTGGCTTGGCTCCATAGTCAACACACTTGGTACCAGCATCCAGGAAATCAAGAGACAAAATTGCATTGGGAAAGTCAGCTGTCAGGGACCTCTCCAGAGTACTGAAGAGCAAAAGCATCAGGCTGGAGACTAAGGTGCATCTGATCTGGGCTATAGTCTTCGCAACTGTGTGCTATGCATGGAGAGCTGGACAGTGACTAGGGATGATAGAAAGAGAATTGATGCCTCTGAGCTGTGGTGCTGGAGAAGAATACTGAATATACTATGGACTGCTAGGAAAACAAACACATTAGTCCTGGAGAGGGTGAAGCTGGGCTGCTCTTGGAGTCAAGGCTTCTATAGCTTCGTCTGACATACTCTGGGCATGTTACAAGGAGGGGCCAGTCCTTGGAGAGGGACATCATGTTTGGGAGAGTGGAGGGATAGCACAGGAGAGGAAGACACTCAGTGAGATGGATCAATTCTGTGGGTCGGAGACGGTGAGGTTGGTATAGGATAGGGCAAGGTTTAGGGCTCCTGTACATAGCGATGCCATGAGTGGCAAGCGACTTGATGGCTCATAACAACAACACAACAGTTAGC